GTATGTCAGTTCAATGACCTGAATTTTGGCACATCCGACCTAATTCAGTGTAGAAGTAAGTACATCAAATTTGATGAAAATCGGTTAAGATATAGCTAGAGCTCCCATATATTTGTTTCATCCGGTTTGGGGTTTATATCCCTCAGATTCGTAATGTGTACTCCACAACAATGATATTTGGTATCAGATATCGAATACAGCCCAGAAATACATCTGCCAAATTTTATCAAGATCGGTTCAGATTTGGATATAGCTCCCACATATACCTTCAACCGATTTCGGGTTATTTGTGCACTAAATGGACTATATCAGCCCAAATTACCTGAATTTTGGCACATCCGGCCTAATTCAGTCTCGAAGGAAGTACATCAAATTTGATCGGTTCAGATTACATAGCTATAGCTCCCATATATATGTTTCATCCGATTTGGGGTTTAAACCCCTCAGATTCGTAATATGCACTCCACAACAATGATATTTGGTACCAGATATCTTATTGAGCTCGAAAATACCTTTGCCATATTTTTATCGAGATCGGCTCAGATTGTCATATAGCTCCCATATATATCCTTATTGTGATTTCAGGTTTATTTTGAAAATAATGGCTAATATCAGCCCAAATGGAGTGAATTTCGGGACGTACGTTGCCATTGGTGGAACTCGGTCCCGATATATATTTTTTTCTCCGAAAAAATTGGTTAAATCGATTCAGAATTGGATATGTCTCCCATATATTAATTTCCTCTAAAACCAAATTGTAACTGCTCTTAAGCCAAAGTTTGATAGGTGGTATGATTTACTTCAAATAATTCGTTTGATACAGGAGCTCTACTAAATATTCATGGTAGTAGTGTAGGGTATCATGTAGTCGGCCCCGTCCGTTTTGACTTTTCCTTACTGGTCTTGCAAAATGCAAAAGAGATTTATTTTAGGAAAATAATAAAAAAACGAGTAATACCTATAAAAAATTGTAATTTCTAGGATATACCTATCGAGGCACTGACGTATTTAAAAATTGCCGAACATAAATCCTCAACTGTAAACCTTAAACAAAATGTATACCAAACAGCGCAACATTTATAGTCCAAAACGCATAAAAAATAAAACAAAGTGCCAAAGATGAAAATAAATTTGAATTTCTGCTGAGCCAGAGCATGAATGTTATAAAACAAAAAAATTGAATAAATTCAAATAAAATATGTACGGCACACACACATCTCAGTGACCAAGTGTGCCGTCGCCGCCAAATGCCGCAGTTGAAATCAAATAAACATTACCCATAAACATCAGCATCAGTAGTCACATCACAAGCTTCAACGCCCGCACAACAAAACAAACCTAGAACATAAATTTCGCACTTTGGAATTTGTGTCGGAGAAGGATAATGGTGCAAAGAACAGAGAATTCCATTGGAAGTGGTGGAGTCTGCATTGCAAATGCAAAGCTTAACACAAAGCCCTGAAAGTGATTTGTGTGTATGTTCGTGGCGCGTTGATTCAATTCTTGTTGGCAAAGTCATGACTGGAGCACTGCCAGCCAGGCAACCAACCCACCCACTGCCATCCATAAACTATCAATTGCATAAAATGCCAATTTAGACCACATGCCGGGAATAGTTGCATGCATTCAAGTCATTCGAGTATGAAAAACTGAAGTTAAAATAATACGCAAATGCAAGTGAAAGAAATATAGAAAAAAAATATTTGTTTAGGAACGCGAAATAAGAAAATTACATGCCGTCATATACTTATGCATGCATATCTGCACATACATAAGAGCTGATTGACAGATCGATTTATCACCTCAAAAACTACTCGAATTAATTCCAATTAAATGCCATGGAAAAGAGGGTATATTAAATTTGTCATTCTGTTTGTTACGTAGAACGTAAAACTAATATATGGGAGGCATATCCAATTCAGAGTCGATATTGACAAAATTTGACGGACATTACTATACTACATACATATACATATCACTTGGAGAAGGATTATATTTTAAACAAGTTAAAAAGCAGTAAGTTCGGGCTGGCCGAACTTTCAATACCATCCACCATTTGGAACGAATTTGGATATTTTCGAAAAATAAGATCCGTTAAAAATTTGTTAAAATTTTAATAACACCGAATATATCCGTTATATTGAGATATATACGACGTGGATCTACATAGGCATTGTTTGTCATAAGCCATTACCATATTCAAATTCGAAACTTTAAATTAACGGTGAATAATGTTGGTAAAATCATCAAAATATATAGGGATATATATATATAGGGAGGTACCGTTATATCGGAGCTATACGAAGACGGAACCTTCAAAGACAATTTTCTGCCACAGACTGTAGCATCCATTACGAACTTCAAATACGACTTCTCAAACAATTTCGGTGAGTATTGATCGTCAAAATACCGAATATAGGGAGATACTGACATATGGGGCCTATACGAAGACATGGACCTGCATAGACATTTTTCTGTCACAGACTGTAGTTCCCATTACGAACTCTAAATACGTAATTTGAAACAATTCCGGTGAATAATGTCGCTAAAATCATCAAAGTACCAAATATCGAGAGGTACCGTTATATGGAGGCTATACGAAGACGTGGGCCAGCACAGACAATTTTACATCTTATGCTGTAGTATCCATTTCGAACTTCAAATACCAAACTTTGAACAATTCCGGTGAATAATGTCGCTAACATAATCAAAATACCGAATATCGAGAAATACCGTTATATGGGGGCTATATGAAAACGTGAACCTACATGGCCCATTTACGAACTTAACCTGCCTACTGGCAAAAGTAGCATGTGTGCACTTCAATTCGTTCGAAAGATAGTGTTATTACAACAGACAGACAGACAGACGGACGGACGGACATCGCTAAATCGACTTAGAATTTTACGCTGATCAAGAATATATATACTTTGTTGGGTCTGACATGAATATTTCGAGGAGTTACAAACGGAATGACAAAGTTAATATACCCTCCATAGGATGGCGGAGGGTATAAAAAATACATATTGGAGCCGAGTTCCACCAAATGGAAATGTACGTTCCGAAATTTACTTCATTTGGGATGATATTAACCATTATTTGCATAAAAAATCTGAAATCGGATTAAGAATAGTTGGGAGCTAGACGATCTTGATAAAATTTGGCAAAGATATTTCCGAGCTCTATAAGATATCTGTTGTCGAATGCATATTACGAATGTGGGGGACTTAAACACCCAATCGGATAAAACATGTATATGGTAGCCATAGCTATATCTGAACCGATTTTCTCCAAATTTGATTTACTTGATTCTTCACTGAATTTGGTGCGATGTGCCAAAATTCAGGTAATTTTGACTGATATTGGCTATTTGGTGCATCCGAAATCGGTTAAATATATATATATGGGGGCTATATTTAAATCTGAACAGATTTTGATACAATTTGGCAAAGGTATTTCTGGACTGTTTCTGATATCTGGGACCAAATATGATTCTCGTAAAGTGCATATTACGAATGTGAGGGACTCAAACACCTAATCGTATGAAACTTATATTGGAGCTATAGCTATATCTGAACCGATTTTCTCCAAATTTGATTTACTTGCTTCTTGACTGAATTCGTTGGAATGTACCAAAACACTGGTCATTTGGATTTATATTAGCCATTTAGCACACATTTAACTCGAAATCATTTGAAGATGTATGGGAGCTATCATCAAAAACTGATCCGATTATCGCCAATTTCAATAGGGTTCGTTCTTGGACCAAACAAAATTGTTCGGAAAATTTCATCTTAATCGGAAAGACGGACAGACGGATAGACGGACTGACCTGCATAAATCGACTCAGAAAGTGATTCTATGAAGATCCTCAAAAGTAACTATGAGTCTAACCATGGTACAATAAAAAGGTAAGGTAGAGCACTCAGCGGATTACAATTTTTTTCTAAGTGTGCCCGACTTCTGCCAATTTTGTGAACGTATTTATTATTTTCAAAACCAATGATTGGAAGACCCGTACATTGCGGCGCGCGCATTAATGCTGTTAACAAGTTTACCCATGAAATTTAAGGATTGAATAGTTTGGATCATATTTTTCAGAGAAAATCCAGGTTATTCATTCATTTTTCCCGTTATATAAATCATTTTAAAAATGAGGAAAAATATGAAAAAAAAAAATTAAAACAACTTGTTGTATATAATTTTGAATGAGTCTAACAAGGAAGCGGGCATAGCCTTAGGGCTGTATTTCTGTAGGTCTACGAAGCTATTCTGCCTCCTTATTGTACCATGGGTCTAACCATAGACAAATAAAAATATAGATAACGAAATGCTCTCTCCGTTCATCTCCGAAAAAATTCGGATCAAGAGATGTCGTTTATAACGTTTCAGGGGTTTGAGTGATAATATTGAAATCATACAATTCATATATCATAAACTATAAGGATATTTATAATTTAAATTTTTTTCCATAATAAAACATAAGTGAAAACTACGAGATGGCATCGAAAATATGGAAATATCCAGTGAAATTCTTGAAAAACCATAAAATTGACTATGATGAGAGCCGCCTTGATAAAAGATAAAACTAACTTTTCGTTGTCTATGGGTCCATCCATGGTAGAAAAATACAGGTAGATGCATCAACGCTTGGGAACATTGATATGTCAAAAATTTTGAAATGTCTTTTCAAATATAGGTCGATTTTTATTTGTTTTCTTATACGACGTCATTCGGAGGAGTATAATGCGTGTTTTTCAACAATTTTTATAAATTTAAATAATTTTTCATTCAACATTTTCAATTCCAAAATTGGTTTGCCAGTTCATTGTCCCAACAGCTGTGTGCCGAAGCGCCCACCTATATTCTTACCATGGGTCCGTTCTATCTCCCACTTCCCTCTCCATGTTACAAACAAAGGCACAAAGACTTAACACCCCTACCACTACGTGGACGTAGGGTATAAGGGAAACATCAAATTTATTAAATTAAAAAGAGCAACCACTCAGAAGTCGTTCTATCCGTTTGAATCGAGCGATCATCGAAGAAACAATACCACCAATGGAATTCCGTAGAGATCCCAAAAGAATGGCAAAGTTCAAAACCTCACGCTACAGATAGAACGATGTACCTCCTCATCGCAGGTTGATGGTTTTCCATTTTGCAATGAAAGTAATTGAAGACTGACTACAGAAATGATCCTGTGAAGTATAGTCTTAACTTTTCAACGCCAACAGTCAACTTTATTAGGTGGGCTGAAAATGAACTAATTGAGAATTAAAAGAAAGCAACAGAATCACACGATTTGTACGAATGTTAACGAATACACATTTCCTAGAGTCAAATACTACTAAAATAAGCAGTTGTTATCGACGTCTCTTGTGTGTTTGGCCTGATGTGGTGACGATCAACAACAACAACACTCATTCACATATAACTAATGTGAGAAGTGTGTGCTGTGCTCGTTGTTGTTGCGGACGAGGGAATAAACATCTAGAAATAGAATCATGTGCTTGTAGTGTAGTTGTCGATCGATCGGTTGTATTTTTTTTGTTGTTTGGCATTTGTTGTGTTTTTCTTACAGTAGGTATTTATTGTAAAAGGTAGATTAATAAGCAAATAGAATGGGGAGGTTCATTTATTTATGAGTTTAAATTTGCAATGTAAAATGAACACAAGACTCAATGATTTTTAAAGCATTTAACTCTATTGATTGCCGAAGAGTCATTTTTATACCCTCCACCTTGGAAAGGAGGGTATATTAACTTTGTCATTCCGTTTGTAACATCCTTAAATATTCGTTTTAGACCCCATAAAGTATATATATTCATAATCAGCATAAAATTCTAAGTCGATTTAACGATGTCCGTCTGTCTGTCTGTCTGTTGAAATCACGATACAGCCCACAATATTTGACGTAGAGCGCCAAAATTTAGCAGAGCTATTTGCATTGTGTCTAGGATGGTTGGTATTGAAAATGAGATATATCGGTCCACGTTCTGGTATAGTCCCCATATAACGGTACCTCCCGATATTCGGTATTTTCATGATTTATGCCACATTTTTTCACGGATTTGTCTGGAAATTTGGTATTTGTAGGTCATAACGGGTCCCTGAGCGTGTGGCAAAACATTGCATGTATAGGTCCACGTTGTGGTATAGCCCCCATATAAAGGTACCTCCCGATATTCGGTATTTTAGTTTTTTTTTGCCTCATTTTTCCACGGATTTGTCTAAAAATTGGTATTTGTGGGTCATAATGGTTTCCAACTCTTGTGGCGAAACATTGCATGTATGTTTCAATGATTTGGTATAGCCCCCATATAACGGTACCTCCCGATATTCGGTAATTTGATGATTTTTGCAAAATTTTTTCACGGATTTGTCTGAAAATTTGTATTTGTTGGTCATAATGGGTTCCAGCTCCGGTGGCGAAACATTGCATGTATGGGTCCATGATTTGGTATAGCCCTCATATAACGGTACCTCCCGGTATTCGGTATTTTGATGGTTTTTGCCACATGTTTTCACTGATTTGTCTAAAAATTATTACATGTGGGTCATAATGGGTCCTAGTTCGTGTGGCGAAACATTATAATTATAGGTCCACGTTTTGGTATAGCCCCCATATAACGGTACCTCCCGATATTCGGTAATTTAATGATTTTTGCCACATTTTTTCACGGATTTGTTTGAAAATTGGTATTTGTGGGTCATAATGGGTCCCAGTTCGTGTGGCGAGTCATTGTAATTATAGGTCCGCGTTTTGGTATAGCCCCCATATAAAGGTACCTCCCGATATTCGGTAATTTGATGATTTTTGCCACGTTTTTTCAAGGATTTGTCTGAAAATTTGTATTTGTTGGTTATAATGGGTTCCAGCTTCGGTGGCGAAACATTGCATGCGTGGGTCCATGATTTGATATAGCCCCCATATAATGGTACCTCCCGATATTCGATATTTTGATGGTTTTTGCCACATTTTTTTCACTGATTTGTCTAAAAATTGGTATTTGTGGGTCATAATGGGTCCTAGTTCGTGTGGCGAAACATTGTAATTATAGGTCCACGTTTTGGTGTAGCCCGCATATAACGGTACCTCCCGATATTCGGCATTTTAATGGTTTTTGCCACATTTTTTCTAATGTTTCTTTTACCCTAAGGTGGAGGGTATTAAAAGTTTGGCCCGGCCGAACTTAATGTTTTTTTACTTGTTGTCTGAGATCTTATAAAGAATAAATACTTTTATTATGTAAAAATGTTTGTTCTATGTCCAGGGTGAATTGTAAAATACCTAGCACAACTAAATGAGCTGCGGAAAATGTTCAGTAGAAGTCTAAAACTTGACATTGCTCCCTTCGAATTTAAAGGTTTAGAACCATTTCTACGTAAAATAATTTTAATTTGGTTCAAAGAGGATATTGTCCTCTCCAGTTGAAAACGTTATTTTCCTTGCTTCAAAAATTGCTGTTATCTTATTGATATCACTGTGTGACAAATTTCAATCTGTTCTATAATTACTGGGAAAATCCAGCAGATAATGAAAGTAGAGCTAAAAAAGGAGACACGTGTTTCGGCGTTTTGAAAGTTTAGATCCAAAAGTAACCAAAATAGAGGGGCGAGATTTGCACTCTTCCACACTTTTGGAAAATTTTGGATTAATCCGTTCATTTAAGGAATCCGTTCATTTAAGGAATATAGTGTCTTCGGCAATATTGCATATAACAAGTAAAATACTCTCCACCATTTGGAACGAACTTGGCAATTTTCAAAAAATATAATCCGTTAAAAATTATGTTAAAATCTTAAAAATACCGAATGTAGCCGTTATATTAGGGTCTATACGACGACGTGGACTTGCATAGGCAACTTTTGTCAAAATACCACATATAGGAAGGTACTATTATATGGGGACTATACCAAAACGTGGAACTGCACAGACAATTTTCTGTCATAGGCTGTAGTATCCACTACGAACTACAGATACGAAATTTGAAACAATTCCGGAGAATAATGTCGGTAAAATCATTGAAATCCCGAATATGGGGAGGTATCCTTGTATGGGGGCTATACGCAGACTTGGACCTGTATAAGTTTTTTTTTTTCTGTCACAGGTAGTAGTACTCATTACGCAGTGCAAATACGAAATTTGAAACAATTCTGGTGAATAATGTAGCCAAAATCATCAAACTACCGAATATCGGCAGGTACCGCTATATAAGGGCTATACGAAGACGTGGAACTGCACAGACAATTTTCTGTCATAGGCTGTAGTATTCGTTGCGAACTTCAAATACCAAATTTTAAACAATTCCGGTAAATAATGTAGCCAAAATCATCGAAATACCGAATATTGGGAACTGCCATCATATGGGGCTATACGAAGACCTGGACCTGCGTAGGCAATTTTTTTCTCAGGCTGTAGTAAGTATTAGAAACAGATGTATACCCCCAGCCTTGACTTATGATTATTCAAACTGTTGATTCTTTAGGTACGAGGTTCCGAAGCAGTTGGCCACTATTGGTATCTGATCTGACCAATTCGTATCTGACCTAAGACTGATATAAATACTACAACGTAACAGATTTCGACTATACCAACTACTTCCTGTACCTGAAAGGAGATATGTGCAATTTTTTGGGAAAATATGGAAGTATCCGTGAGGTAACACATATAGCGGACCGAAGTATTCCATTTTCATTCTTCATCGTATACAGATAAAAATATTAGCATGTGCAAAATTTGAAGGAAATCGAATATTCATATCCATTTTTTGCAAAATCAAATATGTGGCGAATGATCCTATCTCTACCACCTTTATAACAGATCTTGTGTTTATAGAAATATTAAGATGTGCCACGTCTGAATGGAATCGAATTTGATTTTGCGTTTTATGAGCTTCATGGATATTCAAAAATTTGACCCTTTATGGGGGAGGTACCGAAAGGAGTGGACCAATATATTCCATCTTCACACCAGACCTTGGGTTAATAAAAATATTGTGATGTGTGAAATTTGAAGACAATCGGACTCTTGCATCACCTTGTATAGGAGTTATAATTATTCCAATATGTGACCCTTTGTGGGGGAGGTACTTGACGGAGTGAGCCGATATTATCCATTTTCGCACCTGACCTAGCAGTGATGCAAATATTAGGATTAGCAAAGTTTGAGCAAAATCGGATTATCGTTTCTTCTTCTGCGCAGTAAATTAAATCTAAATCTAAGTTTGACAATAATATTACGATGTACCGAGTTTGGACCAAATAGGATACTCCCTTCGAGAAGTACAGACAGACGAATATATCCCCAGAATATAAAATATCCCCATCTCTCTCAACTATTTGTACCTAACCTGTCTGAAATATTGAGTGTTAAGTTCTTACTCGTCCCTTAAAACTCTATTGAATAAAAATCTTTTTCAAATACATGTTCTGAAATTTTTAAGAAAAAAAAATACAATACAATACCCTTTGTATTACAATTTCATTTAATTTAAGAAAAATATTATTTTTTAAGAAAATATATATTTTTTTATTACTAATCAATTAAAGTTTACAATAAAAATATTCATTTATCATTTAATGTAAATAAATGTTTTCATATAAAAACGCAACAGATTTAGGCCTTCAAGCCAATCTCTCCGGGATTGAATATCTTCACATTACGATCGTTGACCTTGTAAAGGATTTCCTTTGTGGTGTAGTTTGATTCGTAACAATTATCCTCCTCATCTTGGAAACGTTTGATCAGCAGCTTGCCATCGACTTCACGGAAAACTCCACTCTTCAACTTGATGACCTGAATGTGCACGGAACCCAGTTTGGAAACATTGTTATCATCCAATGAGTACAGATCGGAATTGCTCATTTTTGTGATAATCGATAAATTGGAAAATTCCCGAGTCAAAGCAACCAAGCCGTGGCACAGTTGTTGTATGTCCTCCTTGGAAGCACCCAAATTATAGAGTATCGACAAGTTATCAATTATAACGGTATTGTGAATGCGAGCGGTGAACGTTGAGCCCGTTGTCAGTTGTTCTCTTATATCGGCGAGTAGTAAATCACTTAACTTGTGCTCCCGCGACAACCATTTGCAGCTAAGAAAATCCTTGGCCATCTCATTGGAAGGATCAATTATGCCCAGTGTTTTGCCCAGGAAAATGTTACAGTTGTAACCCAAACGCATGCCAGCATTAAAGTAATGCTGATAGTTGT